AGCACATCAATTATGTATGATTTCATTTTGTCTTGTTCTTTTACAAACCAATAAACACATTATTTTTTGTATTAGGGAAACAAAATGGAAATGGAAAAAGCGATCCGTATAGATTTTTAACCAAAGGTCAGCAATGGATTTTTCTTCAAACGTATTCTCAAGTGCAAATTAATTCTTGGAATGGAAAACCCGAAAGCTATATATGTACAACAAATATTATTCAATCGTAAATTTTATTGAAACAGAAAAGGAACAAAAACTTTTGTTTTTTTTAAGAATTAGCTCAAGCGATTCTTTGCAGAAACCATTATCATTGATACCAATGAGTGTTCAACCAAATAACTCGGATGGTAAATATATTATTTTTATCTGTAGATATTAAGATAATGAAAAAGTTTGTTTGAAAAATAATATGTTATCGACTTTAATAATTATGACTTGATACCGATTATAGCTACCGTTAATTATTTGAACATGATAAATTATACTTCCGTGAATTGTGTTCATCCTATTTTTATTACTTTACATTAATGCTAATCCTTTCGGGAGGACTTTTTTGTTAACAAATTTAGTTGGGCATGAAAGATTTTTCAATTGTAAGATTGTTGTTTATAAAGATCGAAGGCAATCTTGGCTCCAGATTTTTCTTGCAGATTTTGACTTAAGTAAATGTCAATTGAATACCACGAAAATTGTTCAGTTTATACAATAAGATATTTCATTACTTTTGACAGAAGTGTTCCAGAGTGGTTGGTGTGAATGGTTGGTGATTTTTGTGGGAAATAATGCCAACTAATTGACAAAGTTGAGGAAAATTTTATTTTCGGTGATTGTCAAAAACTCTATCGATGATACTTGTCGTTTTATATTTAATGTATATAGTTACGAAATTTATTTCTCGTGCGAATCAATTATCGTAACAAGTTACTTTATCTTGACCCAATCTAATCCGACTTAAGTTTTACAAAGTACTAATAAAATGTCTTCTAAGCCGTCATTTTTTAGAAGAATTTTTATAGATTCTATGACATAGGTCAATGATGTGTTTTACTCTATGTTTGAAAGATTGTCCTATTTTACTTGTATTTTCGTTCAACAGTTGAAAAATGGCTGTTCTGCTTCTCGAGGAAAGCATAGGTAAAATATAAATGTCATTCAAAAGTTAGAACAAAATGCATGATTGATCAACATTATCGAAATTATAAAGCGAATCAAACCGAAATGTATATCAATTGAAATTCACTCTAGATGATATCTGTTCTAGGATTTGAAAGTTATGATCTGATTAGAGTTTTTAATGATTATTAGTTTGATGAAATGGTCCAGTGTAACATTTTTATAAATGCAGAACTTGAATCTCTTTTGACTGACGGTACTCACGAAATGTTATATTTGACCATTACGAAACTAGAAAGACATCTTATTGAGCATTGTGATTTTTGAACACAATTCGATGAAATGCAAATAATTATCTGTCTGGCACGAATGTTTAAATCGATATTTTCAGCTATTATTGTTTTTTTCGTGTTTAATAGAAGATATTAAAAGGATTTTTCATTGAATAAAGGATGCCGCCGGTTAAGAAAATTTCTGATATTTGAGAGTGTTTAATATGGGTTTTGTAGAGCATTGAATGAGCTATCTTTCCATATATTTATTTTTCTCAAGCCTTTTCAGTAACTGAGAAAGAATGAAAATAATGTCCTCAGGTATTGCTTGTACCTGCCGATGAAAAATGGTCTACTAAAAATAAACGAAAGATGCCTAAGAAGTTCTTTCAGATGGCATTCGATAGAGCTTTAAATTCTCTACAAAACCCATATTAAACAATCTCAAATATCAGGAATTTTCTTAACCGGCAGCATCCTTTATTTTATACTTTAGTTGAATCTTTATCTTTTCTGCGTACAATAACGACAACTATGTCACAAGCAGGAAACCCACAAGAAAAAAATTCTTCATCAGAAAGTGAAATAACTGTATGTATTTCAAATAAGAGTTGTTAATAAAACGAATAGTTTTTCTTCTTAGTCATTTTTATCTCATCTTGGAAGTGAAATTTATCGAAAAAATATTCGTGAAAAATTAATCGAACGTCGAAAAAGTAAAGAAGCTGAAATACGCATGCGTCAAGAGGAAATTCAAGTTATCGAAGATATGCTTCAGTTTATTAATCAATATGAAATCAAACATTCATCAATTGTTCCAACTAGTCAAGTCCCATATCAGCAAAATAAACATCTGGCCAGAGAAGGTTATAAAGATTTATTTTTTATTTAAAAGAAAACTCCTTTTTTTGGTTTGTTTAGAATTTTCTGTAAACGTATTTGATACTAATAATGATTCAACATTATTTAATAATTCTCTATCTGGTGCTGTTGAAGATTTTACCCTTCCAACAAATACTAACGATGATGCAATAATTGATCCATTATCATCATTATTTTCTCCATTATCAACCACATTTTATATTGCATCTCCAATAATATCATTATCAAATCCTTCATCAAATAACGATTCAGTAGACGACAACACTTGTCTAAGGTCAACACGAAATTCATCTAGAGACAGACCGTTTACACAAGACCCATTTCCTTAATGTGTTTTTTTGTCCTAAAATGTGAGAATACCAATGTTCTTGTCCAGTAAATTAAAAATAGATTCAAACATTTTTTTGAAGAGAAATCTTTTTATAAACACACTTCGATATTTCGTTTTCCAATGCTTATCAATTTATACCATAGAGAAGGTGAATGTTGAAACAATTGTTTTTCGAAGTGATTCAAATCAAATATTTTCTCTACATCATAGTTTCTTATTTTTAACGAAAGCTTAACAGACAATTATTAACGTACATGACCAACATCTTGTTTTGCTATTTATGGATATCATTCTTCAACTTTGAAAATTCTTAACATTCAAAAAAATATGACATTATTTTTAAAGAAATAAGAACTGGATTCTGATGGATCTATCAAAATCTATCGATGTTTATTATCATCTTAATCATGGAACAAATACAGATTTTATTCTATAACATATGAGCCATTCCATATAAGCCACGAACGATCTACCAGAGACCTTCTCAATCAATGTCGTCAGATCTTGCTCAATTTAATATATGTTATACAGGGAAGTATTCTAATAATTTTGACGCAACCCGTTTCAAAAAATATTGATCCTTCGATCTTTTATGAGCATTTTACTAAAAGCCCTAAAAGCGGCCCATGCCAAAAACAGGGGTCTTGATGCAATGATATCTGACGAACGGCTCAACAGATTGAGCTGAGATTTTTTTTTGACGTATATATTAGTCAGTTCTATTAGCAAAAAAATTTTTATTGAGAAATATTGAGCCATTAGGATTTTATGAACCACAGAAAACACGAAAAAATCCTGATTTTTGGTAATTTTTGTGTTTCATAACTTTTGATTGGAATGGCATAGAAGTCTGAAATTATCAGCATAGATAGAGCACTACAAGATATATGTCTTCTAAAATTTTCAGCTGTCCATCTAGTTCCGTTCACTCCGGGGAGTCCTCTGAAAAACCGGTTTTTGGCAAAAATGAGGTTTTTCTGGTTTCAAGTTCTCCCAAGAAATGGATTCTCCCTCGGACAAAAAAAACGGCCTTTTTCCATTTCATTTTTGCCTCACTTAATAAGTTGTTTTAGAAAAACAAAATATACCAGGAGATGCAGCGTGAAAAGAAGTACAATGTGCAAAGTAAAGCTTATTTTTATTTTGTACTTTTTGTTTTCAAAAGAAGCAAAATTGTGTGCGACCAATTTTCGACGGTGAGAAAAAATCATTTTTTTCTATACGAACGAGAAATTCCTTTTTCCTTATTTCATCTTTTTATCAACTAATATGTTTTTGTAAAAAAAAAATAATATATACCACAATATGCAACGTGAAAAGCTCTACAATTTATGCAGAACAGTTTATTGAAATAAGAAGAAAGGAATTTTTCATTGGTGTAGAAAAATGATCCTTTCGCAGCGTCGAATATTGGTCGCACTGAATTTTGCTTTTTTGGAAAACGAAAAGTACAT